CATTGCGAAACAAGGAGACGGGCTATCTACTCATATACAGCAGTTCTCTAGCAATCAGAATGGTTTTTTGTATGTAATTTGTATAGTATTTTTTTTCTCTCTTATTTCTTTTCTAAATGTACTTGTATATTGTTCACATGTTGAAATAAATTACCAATCAATCAATCAATCAATCAATCAATCAATGAGTCCACATGCTGACGGCTGCTGTGTAAAGAATTCCAAGGATGGCCGCTTGGTTGCATTAAAAAAGCGAAGACCAGACGTCCTTTAAGGTTTTGTTTAATTAGTTGTAACATTGTGTTGTGGCTTTGGGACATGCTGTGCCATTGCTGTTACTTACACTATGTCCTATCCATTTTAATGGACTTCAGAGAATTACAGACTTATTAAAACTATAATATATATATTTCTTTACAGTTATATTTTCTTTTGTGTTCTGTAAAGCACTTTTTAACTACGTTTTTCAAAGCGGTAAATAATATCATTATTATTATTACATGGTTCAGTAAAGGTTCACTATGCAATCAACCTCAGTAGAATACCACCATCTAGTGGCAAAAAATATATTTATTATGACGTACACCAGCTGTCATGTGCTCTTTCATTTCCTCCTGCTCTCACTTTGAGGACAAAACCAGTACGGGGTTATCTGTGGAACTATTGCTCATCGTGAGAAAATGGTCTATCCGTCGGATTATTTGCCCCACTTTCAACCACGAGGTTAGTTTGTTTATTGATGCGGCATTATTCAATATTTTTAAAATGGCGGCAAGGCAGTTGTTTTTCCTCTTAGTGTGCTCATTTTTGAGGCTCTTCATTCATTCTAGACCAGCAAAATGGCTGTAGTAGCATTTCATTCCAGGCCCTCGCTTGGAATGAAATGGAATCGCAACTTTTACTCAGATCACAACTTTTATTCATTTTTACGGCACCGAAATTTGTTTTGTTAACTTTTTGCAGCTGAAGTTATTTTGTAAGAAATTACAAAGTACGAACAACATGTGCTGCTAATGTACTGCAATGGCAACCCAGGAAAACAATGTGCAGTGTTCCTATTTTACCATATTACCTAAGTGCTGCACATTATGCTGACTCATTAAAAGAATTTCCTTAAAAAGGAAAAACAAAAATATGCTTGTATTTTGGTAGTTAAACATCTAAGGACTGTAAAATGAACTGTTTTGCAAATGAAAATGATTTTCAGTAGACTAACTGTGTTATGTTTTCACTTAAAGATGGTGACAATCTACACACTCAGGAGAGCGGGTATGCTTTTGTCATGGTTTTTACAGTTCTTTAATAAAATATGTTTTTTACACTTATTGTAAAAATGGGAGCAAAAAACAATATTTTTTCCCCTCTATATTACAGTGATGCAGGTCTTTCTTCTGACATGGTGCACAAGTTCTGTTACAAGTATGAAGAAAGTGCCCTGCCTGTAACTGACACAGGGAGTTGTGTGAGGCCCATTCTTCACATGAAGCAGTTCCCCATGATGGCAAAAAGCAAGCCACACCCATACCCGCCTGAGTCAAGACCTATGACAGAGGGATTCTTAATCAAGTCCAGTTTGACTGGGATGCAAAGTGGGCCGCAAAATAACTTCAATTGCCAGACATACACAGATCGTGACGATAATAGCAAGGGAGAGGAAGTATTCAAGCCTTTACCCGGAACATCAGCCATTACAGAGGCACTCATGGAAGATGTAGGAAATAAGGGTAACATCATGGATGCCAACACAGATGCCAAAGAAAACCCAGGAAGCGCTGCACCAGTGGAAGAAGTGACGGCCCAAAACCGCTACAAGAAAAGAGCTGTTGGGAAAAAATGGAAAGGTAATTAAATTTCCAATATGCATCTGTTAAAAACTGCCATGCATACATTTATTGCAAATATTACATTTTAAATCATAAAGATTGATATATTAAATGCCAAAAAATCTAGCATGTTTAACACTGAGGACATAGTTAAAGTTGTTGTTGTATTTTATTGCAGTTCTGCTGAGGCATGTTTCTTTAATGTTACATTTACATGCATGATTAGACAAAATACTGGAAAGTCTTATATGATGCAATCAGTACAACTGCTGTACCTAAATAAGAGTATAATTTTATTTAAATTCCCATGTGGAGTAATTCATAGTGACTTTTTCCATGAGTAAGTCTGCCCTGTACTTTTTCTTTCCAGTTTACAATCTCTGTGTGGTGGCAGTTCTAATCATAAACTTTCCTGCCTGTAATGGATCTAATGGTATGTTGTACTTCATATGTATTTAAAGATTTATTTATATCTATACATGTGCAGTTTTTTTAACTATTACTTATATTTTTATATTTTTGATCAGACAGTTTATTTATATACTTAGTCTGCAGCACATCTACTGTGTTAAAAACATGAGTAAGCTAAGCTGTAGTAAGTTTTTATTCAAAAATTGGTAACACTTTGTAATACAACACCCCAACTGAGGACGTAATTAGCCTGCAATTAAATCTGACTTTAAATGAGCCCCTTTATTTGCAATTTTATTGTACCAGAAAGTGAATATACATTATATTTTCAAGTTACCGTGAAAGTAATTGAAATTACACTATAATTTATTTTTAGGTACACTGTAATTGTATGGTAATTACCAGAAAAACAAATATTTTTCCATTTTACATCGTGGGTATGCCTTACTTTTTAGGGTGTGTATTGCGGGGTGACTTACAACAATGTTATAAAATGCAATACTAAGAATTATTCTAGGTCCCATCAGAATATGTAATTTTAACTTGCATGCATTTACACCTGAAATCATGTTTATATTTATATTTTCCATTTCTCTAAATGCAGATGGGCTAAACTGTTGGGTCTGCAAGGATCAGGACAAGTGCTCCAGCCTCAACACAATATATGACGAATATGACCATATCCTGTACCAGAGAGACTATGGAGAGAAAGCTTTCTCAGAATGCTCTCAAATACCACCGCCTGTGCCTAAGACTCCTAAAACCTGCACAGTATGCCAGTCCGATTTTGTCTTCATTACCTGCTCAAACGACACTAATGAAATCCAACCAGAAGCAAAGGGATCACTCATTCAAGACATCCATAAAACATGTATGTAGGCCATTAAGGTGCCATTCTGCGCTGGCTTTGTTGAAATGCTGGTTAAAATATACCTGGACGTCAAGTTTCAAAATAAAATTTAAATAGAATGTGCATGTTTAAAAATATTTAAATAACATACATCTAATACATTATAAAAACATTATAAATTTACTGTGAACTGTTAAGACAACTGTGTAGATAAGGTTAAAAAAAATCAGAATGGGAGACGACGATCAACACAATAGCACTATTCACTGTTGTCACTGTCGTTAGGGTGCTGCATGTTCCGCTGGTTTAAACTCAGCAAGCAGTATTAAATAAAGGTTGGGCGAAAAAGCCTCAAAAGGATACCACAATATTTCAAGAAAAAACTATGATAACAGTATTTCTGACGATATAGAAAAATATATATTATGCATCTAGCTTGAAGACAGCAGCATTTATAAATGTAAGAAAATGAATGTTCGAACCTTCTTTTAAAATGAAGAGTCTGGGTGTTGTTTCCCTGGAATTTTTAAGTATAAAATAACACTAAATTCAGAATAAACTAAATAACCATGTGACTCTGCAGGAGCCTGAACCAATATAGGCACATAATAAAGCTCAAAAATATTTTCTACCTGGGGTGTTGCATCTTAGATAGAACATTTTAATTGGTTGTTTAAATCCACCATTTGCCTCTATTATCAGAAGTACCGCAACTGGTGAATACTCCAGGCTCTTTGTTTAGTTGGGTCGCACATCACCAGCTGCAAGTTCCTCCTCCTATTTTCTTGCATACTTTGCTGGGAACTGTGCTCTGCTGTCTACTGTCCCTTTTCTGTGTAACTCATCTTCGAAGTCGGACGCCCAGCTCTAACTCATCTCTCAGACATGCCCGGACTTGTCTCTTTGTGGGAGGACAATATTGGGGGGGAGGGCATTATGGTCAATATGATATGGCACAGACTTACATTAAATGCACCTGTTTAAATCGGTACAGTCTAAAGCAGTCTGGATAAACTCTGTACATGCGAAATATTATTTTGGAGGCTGTAGATTTTATTGCTATTGAATTTCTACTGTGCTGTGTATCAAACTGGTTAAAAGGCATATATGTGCCATCTGTGCCATCATGAATTCACAGTAACGAGTCGTTCTATTTCTAATCACAATATATGAATTATTTAAATGTAATTAGTTATTCATACAGAATTATGCTACTTAAATGTATTTCTTCCTCTTTAGGCATGCAGTATAAGACTTCTGACCCGATGCCCAGCAGAGGGACTTCCCATTACAGTATGTACTTTATTTTCACATAGAGGAAAAAAAAAGTTTTAGATAACCCTTTATGAGCTGGAGCTGGATAGCACAACAACTGACAACATCACAATATTGTGATGGAACTGAAACTAGGGGCGGTATCCACTACAGGTTGGGATGTTAGAGTAGGAGTTAAAGTGGATAACGGCATGTCAAATCAGTATTAGCGGATGTGGGCTCATTCCTAGTGGTAAAGCCTTATAATTTCGTATGATTTAGCACATTATATTGCGTATTAATATCATTTCACATAATGTATTTATTCCCAGTGGGTCTGCCAAAGCCGATGGATCCTCATATTTGATTATTGAACTGCAGATTTAAAATTCTTGGTGACGCAACCCTCCGATTTTTCCGTGCTGTCGTAGTTCACTGAGACTGGGTTTGTCTCCTCCTGGTCTCAAATCGTAGATTTGCGAGTCAACAACATCCGACAAATTCACAACTGCGCAGTTCTTAAAGGTCAGTTTTGCTACTGAAAAATGTAACGCCGTTTTTTGGCGATCCGCCTTTTTGTGATGGTTAATATTTTTGTTATACAAATATATTTAAAAGTGAGAGAGAGGGCGAGAGAAGAATTAAGCCCACGTTACGTACCCCGAGATTGCACCAATCCCATAATCGCAAACTTCAAAAAGAAAAGGCGCGCACTCACTCGCATTTCAGGAAGTGGCCACCCGGTGCGCGCGTTTAAAAGCCTGTCAGCGCGATTAACAGATTTTTTATTAGGTTGCCATTATCCCACCGCTTGGATCCTCGAACTTTGAGCCAACCACATAAACCCACCGTCTGACATCCCCGCTGTTCCTCCCTGAGAGCCCGGGGCCCACGTCCCATCAAGTCGGAGAGCAGCAGCGCTACCGATCCAGACAGTGAATGTAAGAGGGCAGCACTGCACATAAATAATAGTGAGGCTGTAAAACTTGTAATCTGTCCTGCCACCATTTGTTAATCGCTACAAAAGCCATACATACATGCATACAACTATTTAAATACCGGCAATCATTTGGGCAAATATCAGAAATCCCTTTTTGGCACAGCGAGTGCACAGCGAGTGCGCTCGTTGCAGTATTTCTTTAATAGAATGATAGATGTCGCTAGACAAAACCTCCACATCAACACGATTGGTAGAAGAAGTCATAACCGGAAGTAAAGGAACAGCGAAGTTTTCTTTTGAAAGGGGGCGTTCGAGTAGTCCAAGAAGCACGTACTTATAGGATTTTCCCTTTCAAGGGGGAAATATTTACGCTGCCGTGATGTCCAAAGTTTGGAGTAGTTTGTAGTTGTGTTAGATGCTTCTAGGAGTGACTTTTTATTCAGAAACAGAGGGCAGATGATCAGAAAGGAACGCGTCACTGACGAACTGGAAAGCTTACGTCTGTGAGCGCAGTCGCGGTTAACCCATGTTGTAGCCGAGTCCCACTTATTTCTAGCAAAACTGGTATTTTGAATAAACAGCAGAAATTGTCCGAACGGAGTTTCCCCCGGAAATGTGCACACATTGAGCACAAACGAGCGACCTCTATCTGTTGAATCTGTAATAAAAGCCGAAGTTAAATGTTTATCAAAATACAACTAATAATTAAACTGCTTTAGTGGGTGAGATTATGAATGTAACAATATATTACAGGTGGAGAAGAAAAAAATACACCAATGCGCGCTTTTATACACTTGGCAAACTAAGAGTATCTTAATTATGACAGAGGCTTAGTTATATGATGATATGTTTCATGTTTATATGGTGAAACAGTTTGTAGCAATCCTGCGCTCTGGGTATAAAGGGCTCGATATACCCTCACATACAGTGACACACTTTCAAAGTGAAGTTATATCTGCTGACCCGAGTCACGCTTTGGTGTCCTTTCTGCTGGTCCTTCACCTCTCAGTTTTCTAACCTTGCTGCAACTTGGCAGATAACGTGAATCTATTATTGTGTCATTTTTCAATTTCAATTATATATCAATACAGAAACTTAATTCCAAGATTATACAGAATTAGATGCTGCAACAGCTTGAATAGATCAGCCTTTCTGGAGACAGCATAAGCCAAGAAAAAGGTGCCAGTATACTCTCTGCATTGGTCACTTAACACACAGAGCTGATATATAAAGAGTCAAAACCATAGGCAAAGACATTGCAGGGTATTTTTCAACCCACAGAGTCTCATGTTTTCAAACTGTCGTAAGCTCTCCCTCTGTATAATTTGTGAATCTCTAAACTTCTGTACTGATAGACTATATCACCAAAAGTTTTCACTCATCTGCCTTCACTTCCACTTTGTTATAATACCACCACTAGATGACTGCGTAATATTTAGTAGCAAGGAAATTTCATGGCTGGACTTGTTGCACAGGTGGGATCCTGTCATTCAGTCTGCATGACTAGGTGGCTTTTTTACACTGGTGCCCACAGAAGTGATTGGAACACCTGAATTCAATGATTTGGATCGGTGAGTGGATACTTTGGGGAGTATGGTGTATATCATTAAAGTGGTGTTAAAAGCAAACATGATAGTAGCTCATGTCAGGTTACAAAAATCAAGAGGTGCATACCAGCAGATGTGACGACATATTTGTTGCACAGTGAGGTGCACTGGGTAAAAAAGCTACTTTACACTCCAATGCGGACATGAACAGCTGGGGACCCAATGGCCAAATAGTCATTCCTGTTATACTTCTTTGACATAATGGATAACAACAATAATTATATTTTAGCATTAAATATATTTATGTAATTTATTTAATAATAATCAATACTGTTAATTTACTGCAGCTGCAGCATCAACCTTGCACTGGGTGATGATCCAATAAATTACTTGAGTACTGTACATATGTGTAATAGTAAATTTCTGTATTGATGTAAATGTATTAATACATTAAAGATGAAGGTACATTTAAAAAAAAGAAAAGAAAAGAAGATAAGACACTTAAATTCTTGATTCAATCTTAATTTGTCTTTTCAGATCCTGACCGTGGACCTACTGGATTGATTTTAATGGCTGGTTTGTATAAATTATGATACTAACCTATGACATATACAATAGTCACTTAACAATGAAGTTAAATTGCCAAGAGCCAGGTTTTGCTGACCTTGACTGAACAACAGCAGTCTGTAGGGTTTTTTTTTCTTCTTTTATTTCATAGTTCTCTTTCTGATTGCGATTGGACCACTGTGATCTTCTGAGTAAGTGTGATTTTATTTTAACAAAACTTTCATCTTAGAAACACAACTTCCTTATATCAGGTCCCTTGAATAAGTTCATGAATGAATGACTAAAGCTATAGACCAACCCCCCAAAAATATTTCACACCATTTAATCCATTATACATTTTAATACAGTTCCCCAATCTTAAAATAGATGATTTTATTCTTTCCTTTTAGTGCTGTAAGAAAAGCTTTGTGATATATTTGGAAAAAAAAAATGCTAATTCTCAGTCCCAGTAAATCTTGAATTGGAGAATATTTTTAGTTTAAATATTGAAAAAATGGAAAGGGGCTACAAGCAGACTGTTTTGTGGTTCTTTTTTTTTTTTTGGCTAAATGCATTTTCACTTAACACACTTCTCTCTTTTTTCAAACAGGACTTTGGATCTTCAACATTTATCCCTCAGCATGAAACATCACGCTGAAACATCTTTTTCTTTTACTCATAGACACTTACTTTCTGTCTTAAAATGTTTTTAACTGTATTGGCACAGCAAAATGGCTAAATAGGATGTGTTTTATTGCATATGCTTAAGCCCAAAGAAGTCACCTTCTTTTAGAAAAACAATTTCCATAATAACTGGTTATTTTTCTGTAAATCACCTTCATGCTTATTTGGCTTATCAGACTTCAGCTTTACTTGACAGCAAATAATTATGTTTGAAACACATATACATATCTGGCCTTAATTATAAACACATCTGCATATCAAGCTGCATATGGTTCATGTTCTTTTTCATAACAGACACTGGAACAGAATATAATGTGCTCAGTTAATAATCAGAAGAGTGTACATCATTGGAAATCCCTCAGCTGCTAGGGCTTGCAGGATCAGTGCAGCCATTTCACTGTGGCAGATGTAGTGTATTTTGTTCCCATACCTATATTTTTGCTTAAAAATCTTTTAATGGACAGTTATATGAAATGTTATTTTTTTTGTCAGAACGCTATAAAGACAAACATCTTTAATTTATGGTCTCTTTCAGTTAAACCTGGTAAATCAAATTTTAAGATTCCCACGGTCTGATAAGACTTTAGTCTTATTTTATGTATAGAAGCTCTCTGATCCACAAGCAAAACCTGGACTGTGAAAGTGAAGTGTCGAAAAACAGAGAACAATGAAGTCAAGATGAGAGTTGAGCCTTCAAAATGAAGTCACTTGTAAGCAGTCACTTCTGACATTTATAGGTCTATTCCCAAGCAGTAAAGTTAAAGTTCTGTACAGTGTAGAAACTAGACTTTTGTTTGTTTTTCTTTTCATACTATTAAGCTTATTTTAATGTTCTAAATCACATAAAAAGCGCCCGCCCCCACGAAATAGGTCACGCTCTCTCTCTCCCACAACCTGGGTTTAAAATTAACAAACAGCGCTTTCTTGTCGTTTATCAGTTTCTAGACTGTACCATCTAGACGGTGGGTAAAACACGTAGCGTACTTCCTGGTTAAAATGTCACTTTAGCGAACACAAAATGGGCAAAGACGTAAAGAAAACGCCTTTTTTTAAAATAAAAACTTGGCCATTTCTCACGACTAGGTTTCTGTAGCGAAATTAATGCGCCGTCAACCGAAAAAATCAGCAACCACCTGTAAAACAACAACTTACACACGTCCCCGTTTTTCGCAACCTGTCTCGGCATACACCTGCGGGGCGTTCGGGTCCTCCCAAGTCTACAACACACAAAGACGCAAAATGGAGGTGTTACTATCTGTCTGAGGAAAATTACATGTACCTGAATACGTTTTTGTTTGTATATTTACGAATTAAAAATACTTAAGTCTACCGAGACCGCGAGGAAGCAAGATTAAACATGTTCTGGACGATAATCTTCGCCGCTCTAATGGCGACAGGTAAGTTGGCCTGTATTGTCAAACAGGGTGGGGGCCGGGGAAACTTTGACATACAAACCGCCTTTCTAAATACTCTAGCTTTTCCAAAATTACAAATTTTGTGGGCATTTTTCTTGTACTGATGGCTTGAGGTCTTTTAACGTTTGTGTTTTGGGGGAAAACGTTTTTTAAAAATTGACAACAAGGATTTTAAAACAACCTGTTGGGACATAAAATTAAAATGGCTCTTTCTTCTCGGTAGTTTTTAATATAATGCACTCGCAGACAAACAAAAATAAAATAAAAAATAGATTAATATGAATAAAACAATTTATGAATCCTATTTTCAAAGTAATTCTTTTGTTATTATTATTACTGATATTGTTATTATTCGACATATTTACAAAAAACAAACTTTTAGTTGAAAAAAATGCGGGTAGAAAAGGTTTTTTTGTTGGGGTTTTTTTTTGCTAAATACACCTTTTTGAAGCCTTGTGGGTTGGTGTTGGTTTTATTTGTAAACTTTAAATATTGGGGAACTGAATTTGATTGAGAGGAAGCCGAATTGGTATCCAACGCATAGCCTTTGGATAAAATAATATAACTCATAATTAAGTGCAGTAGAAATGCAGACGAAAGCGGAGGGAGCCGAGTAGTTTTTGTATGATGTTGCATTCTTATAAACAAAAACGTCCACTATAACTCATGTGTGTTGATTTAAGGCTTGTTGAGGGCTGCATCCGGGCCTTACTTAGGGCTGTATATAGTAAACCTGTTGAATTATAATGTCACTATCACTAACTAGTCTACATCTTCAAGTATCACATACTTGGATAAAAAAGTTTTTTTTAACTAACTGTAAAGACATGACATAGACTTCAAAACTTCCTTTAATTGTAGTTCTGTGTTATCAGAACGTAGCCATCATAATCTAAAGCTATAGTGGTTGGAGCTCATGCAGCCAGACTCATTACAGATGAGGTGACTCATTACATGTACTCTCAGTGATACTAGAAGTGAAGAAATGGTGTTTGGCTCGTGCCACGCCTTTGGGGAATACTAGAGGATGTAGGATGCCTTTTTTTAAATGTCAGAAACATGATCATGATAATCACAGTAATAATACATAATTTGTGTCAATCTTCATTGTTAACTTATATTTTTGTTTTCTTTCTAGAATCCACTATGGGTGTATCAGTTCAATGTCCTACCAAGAGGTATGTCGTCATTCTCTTCCAGCCTGTCACCCTTACCTGTCAGTATCAGACAACGGCCACTCAGCTCCCTATTGTAACGTGGAAGTATAAGTCTTACTGTCGGGACCCGGTTCAGGCTGCACTCAATCCCAGCAGTGCAGACAACATTCTGTCTCAAAACAACCCCAACTATAACCCCACCATTGAGTGTGCAGACAACCAGAGGACAGTGCGAATAGTGGCCTCCAAGCAAGGCACTGCAGTTACCCTTGGCCCTGAGTACCAGGAGCGCAAGATCAGCATAACCGGCAGTAAGTTGGTTAATTAATACACTGAAATCCTATTAAGATATGTAACAGCCTTGGCACGACATGTTAGTCTGTAAGCAGTACCAAAATGTTGATGCTGTTCATCTGGACATAGCATTTTGAAAACTTGGATGAGTGATGAAATATTTCTTCCACTTAAAACGCTACATGCAGATGAACAGCTCAACATTTTGGGATTTTCTTACCCGGATGCTTGAGCATGAATCAAGATGTCTGTCAGTAATTCCTTCTTCTGTTGTAATTAATCTGGAAAATGCGTAAACACTGCGAGGGTGTACATTTAATTTTCCTAAGGGGCCACAAGAGAAATTGGGTCTGTTGTGGAAGGCCATACCAATAACATTTAAAAAGATTGAATTAATATTGAGCAGAATTGAGTCCAGTTTAATGGTGGGGAACCTTCACAACAGTACCAGGTTCTCATTTAGCCACCTGAGAAAATAAATTGCCTGTCTCTGCAGTAGTTTCACATAGGGCTGTGCGATATGACCAAAATCTCATATCCCAATATAAGACATCTATCATAAAGTCATAACGTCATAACGATACAAAGCACAAAAAAATTTACATTTTCTGTAAATTCTGTGAATCGCAGGCAGCTTGACTCGTGAAGTGTTTCCAGCTGGGCGTCGTGTACCTGGAGTCGAGTGTTTGAACCGATGCATGAAACGATATATTTTTAGACATAAGTTGTAACGGCCGCCGTTTTCTTTGTGAGTATTTTCCAACATTTGAGTCTAAGGTTTATTTTTTAGCACCTGGCGGCTCTTTTTTCCTTCTCATCCGTAAATACTCTGCATACTCTTTCACGTGATTCAGTTTATTTTGAAAAGTCTCAACAGGATCTTGAGCTTTATTGTGAAAGGTTTATGTCGAAAATAAACAAGCGGACACGCAATGGTTTTACCATCGTTGTTGATAATGACAAAGCATAAAAACAGGCGCTTGTCCATCCGTAGTGTGTTTAAATTAAATATAAGAGAAAGAGAGAACTTTAAGAAATCAATATAGCCACTACAATGACCATCACAACGATGAAACATAAACGTTTATTTTGCAACACCATGAAACAAATGATAGCGTAAAATGAAACATAGATGTTTTTATATCGTCATCCGATATATATCGTTATATCGAACAGCCCTAGTTTCACATTACATGAGAGCTATACATCACTTTTTTCTATTATATGTTCTGTTCAGATGTACTGAATTTGTATGAGAAAAGAAGGAATACTAATGTAAAGAATCTTACTGTTCTGTAGTCTTAAGTCTTACTATTCAAAGATCTGTCTGTCCATCCATCCATCTATCCATCCATCCATCCATCCATCTTCTTCCGCTTATCTGGGGCCAGGTCGCGGGGGCAGCAGCCCAAGCAGAGAAGCCCAGACCTCCCTCTCCCCAGCCACCTCCTCCATTTTTTCCAGGGCAACACCCAGGCAATCCAAGGCCAGCAGAGAGATATAATCTTTCCAACGTGTTCTGGGTCTCCTCCCGGTGGGACATGCCTGGAACACCTCACCCAGGAGGCATCCTTGTCAGATGCCCGAACCACCTCAACTGGCTCCTTTCAATGGAGGAGGAGCGTCTCTATCCTGAGCCTCTCCCGGATGGCTGAACATTTCACCCTATCTCTAAGGGAGAGGCCAGTCACCCTTTGGAGGAAGCCCATTTCTGCCGCGATTTTGTTCTTTCGGTCACTACCCACAGCTCGTGACCATAGGTGAGGGTAGGGACAAAGATCGACCGGTAAATTGAGAGCTTCACTTTTACACTCAGCTCTCTCTTCACCACAACAGACTGGTACAGTGTCCGCATCACTGCAGCTGCCGCACCAATCTGTTTGTCGAGCTCCCACTCTCTTCTTTCGTTACTTGTGAACAAGACCCCGAGATACTTAAACTCATCCACTTGGGGCAGGAACTCGTCCCTGACCCGGAGTGGGTACTCCACCAATTTTCTGGCTGAGGACCATGGCCTCAGATTTGGAGATGCTGACGCTGTGAACCATTCCAAGGCGAGCTGGAGGCCAACAAACCCACATCATCCGCAAAAAGCAGAGATGAGATCCTGAGACCACCCAACTGAAAGCCTTGCACCACTTGGCTTTGCCTAGAAATTCTGTCCATAAAAATTATGAACAGAATCTGTGACTTTGTCAAAGATCTATTTCACTCTTATTTTCAATACAAAAGGGATGGCATATTTCAATCCAATTGTTTGTTTGTTTGTTTTCAAACTGATTTGAAACATGGGTATTTTTGATGGGCTCACTCATTTTCTTATAAGTTGAACAGTGCTGCTAGGTTGCTGCTCTTTTTTTGATAAATCTCAGGGTAATGAATTGCTAATAACAATAGTCTGTAGCTGTACTGTTTATTTGCTGTACGTTAAAGTGTGCTGAAGTATGATGGGCACTGAGTAGATATAATTCTAGGAAAAAAAATCACAGTAAGGTGATGGATATGAATTCATTTCAGTTCAGGTTTATTTATATTGCAATAAATCACAAGGCAACTCAAGGTACTGTTAACTCCAAGATAAAGACCCCACACTATTCAGAAGAAAACCCTAAGAAACAGACAATCCTCTTTGGGCAACTACCTGATATCAAGTGAAAAACTTCCTTTTAAAAGAACCCACGAGCAGAACCAACCCAGCTGCCCTGCACGTGTCCTGTTCAACGACCAGTTGAGTGCTTAGTCATAGCTGGATACCTGACTTGCTGGGGCCTTCAAAATGAGCAATGGAGTCTTAAAAAATATTCAGTGGTGTGAAAAAAGTAAAAAAAAAATTCTAATGTTTTAATTGATTTGACTGAGTCAATTAAACCACATACCTCTGTGTATAGTGTATAGTTCATGTATTTGAGGGTCATCTGGTAGACCCACAGTTTCTGAATA